ATTAGGGCCTAAGCTGAAAAGTGTGGCCCGAGGGAAGGGTCATGTAGGTTCTTGGCCAAGGCTAACTTGGTCTGGCCCTGCCCGGCCCTTTTTTTCTTTGCTTTTTTCTCTTGTTTTTCATTTTATTTGGCTGGCTCGTACCTGAAAGAGCTAAGGCTGGGCTTGGGCAAGGGTTGTGGGGCCTGGCCGGCCCTAGGCTACTAGGGTCACGGGTGGCCCCGCCCGTTGCCACCACTATGCATGGTAAGTTGGAATTTGAACCTTGTGTTGTAGTTCTATGGTCACCATATGTCCTACCCACTACCCCAAGAAAGGCAAATTGCGTAATGTACCCTTTGAAGATGATAGGCCTTAAAAAGACACTTAAGATCATCATCATTTTCATTTTGAAAAGGGTAAAGATACTTTCTCTATGGAAAATGAGCAGAGGAATGATATGGACTGGAATTTTCTAAAACAAACAAATTTCAAGAATCCTAGTTTGAAAAGGAGGTTCAACGTGTTGAGGATGGGGTACTTTTGTGTGTAACAAAAACATTGTTGGTGGCTGAGAAAGTACCATCGCAATGTCCTGAGATGTTTTTCAAGACCTTTGCTTTAGATTTGGACTTCAGATGCCTCCCTAGCCGAGTTTGAAGGGCCGATAAAAACAAAATTCAAGAATCCTACTTTTGAAAAGACAACAATAGAAATATTGCTATCTTTTTTAGAGAATGTAACAAGACAGAGAAATATATATTGCTTGTAACAAGATAAAAAAGTATCTATTATATTATGGGTAAGCTTTCTATGCTTCCCCTACATCATAGAAGTTCTATCATTTCCCTTATCCAACAGTCCATTCTGAATGGAGGGTTAATATTGCCCCAATCACAATATCACGTCTCTACACTATTCTACTTTTAATTTTTTTCTATAAACTATTTTGACACCAAATTTTGGACGTCCATTCCTCTAACTCGCACTAGCGAAAATATAAAAAACATATTTCAATAAAATAAAATGACCAAAATACCCTTGAAACGTTCAAGGGGTATTTTTGTCATTATATTTTATCAAATTATTATTTTTAATATTTTTTTATTGGTGTGCCCCAATGAAAGGATGGCACGTACCAAATTTCATATTCATACAATTTGTATAAAAAGGATAGAACTTCTATGTTGTAGGGGAAGCATAGAAACCTTTCCCTTGTACTATTGTATTGCTATTATATATAAAATAAAAGAACCACCGCACAAAAAAAGTGCGGGACACAATTATGTTTTTGAAAAATTCTTTTCTCTCTCTAAAATTCTTTAGCCATCACATGACTTTCAACTGCAATGAGGACAAGAGTTTTCCCTTCCTCACTAGCATTTGAAATGGAAAATGATGAAAACGACCTAGATGACCAAAGCTACCTTTACTTAGGATGAAGAAATTTGGAAATAACTTGTTCCAAGAAAATTGAATATTTTCAGTCTCCTAAGTTCTTATTTTGGTGGCACAAGCAAGGGTGGCTATTTGAAATAATGGGTCCTGTGGCCTGGCACACTCAACAGTGAGAATGCACCCTGAACTATGTGAAGGATTGGCCTGGGTTAGGGGGTCCAGTCATTAATATTGCTCGATAGATCCGCGCCTGTGCGATAGCAGAAATTGGAAGAGGTGGGGGCTTCAATCCAAATCCAAGGGGTGTAAACACATTAGACCTTTAAATCTCTGCTCAATTGTGTGGCGTTGCAGATCCTACTTCCCTAACTGCAACATGATCGATAACGCTTTGCACTTCGTCGTAGAGAGTCTCTCCTGAACGCAGCTTAGACAGCAAGGTGAGTTCTGTTTCGGTGAAATCCACCATGTATTTCATGGCAAAGCATTACATGATCCATATGGTCATAGTAACAATAAAGACAATGTGGCTTATCGCTGTCAAAATGGATGGGTTGGACAGTGATGGGAAAGTAGAGCAGCAATGGAAGCAATGCATTGTTAGCCGCTCCTCTCTATCACTCTCCAACATATGGATAGTAGAATGATAACCTCATGATCATGGCGTTATGAAGACCATATGAATTATACGGTTCTTATTTCCATTGTTTTCTTTTTATTTTTTTGGAGAGTTCAGAGGTAGGATTCAAACTTGGTACTTAGTACTATAATCATCGACACAGTTAAGATTCAAACTTGGTACTTAGTACTATAATCACCGGCACCTTAACCGATTGAGACCAAGCCCAGCCTAATATCTTGGGAGGTTTCTATTTTCATCTTTATGAATTTGAACTGAAAAAAACTTGATGTGTAGAGTTGGATATACTCAAGCATAGGGCGAGATTATAATATCTTGAAAAATCAATATCAATGATCATCATCATAGCTTTTTTTCAATTAATTGAGATTGGTTACACGAATCCTGATCCGTCAGTCTGCTCAAATAGCCGTATTCTCAATGAGGTCATAAGTCCTCATATCTTTTATCAAAATCAACATTGAAAATCAAATGGAAAAATTAAGAAATTCAACTTGGTGAAGTTAGACAGCATTTCATAGGAAATAATTACAAGGGGTTAAAGAAGATGCATGATAAACAAAGGAATCTATGTGAGCAGCTTGGGCATTTTGAGGAAACTGCAAAGTGAAGATGCTCATTTATGAGGACAATAAAAAAGAGACTCGCGATGAGTTTCGCTTATTTATGCCATGCGACACGTGTGCAGTGGTTAACAATAACACACGAGAAAGCATAGTGTTCTCCCAATAATGGAATATATGAACACACGAGGTACGATTTTCAACAAAATCACATGGCTCCCTTTCTTGTTCAAATGTGTTGTGCCCTAGAATTTGTTTTCCAGTATGAATATTATCTTCCTGCTGGAGCATACTGTATATTTATTTCTTCAGGCAAAAAAGGTTGCTCGGGAAGATCTTTTCGATCTAAAATTTTGAGATCCAACTAAGAATCATCATATGGTGGAGTCGTTAAGGCTAATATGGCTGAGATGGCAGCATTTATGGAAAGCTTTAAGGCTTATCAATGATAGATCGAGGGGTGAACCTTGCTTGGTTGAGGGAGACTCATTGAATACTATCTTGTGGTGTAAGCGTGAACAAAGGGTGTCGTGGCAACTTCATCAGATATATGGTTGCAGATTATTGATTTTGCTACTTCTCTGGGAGTGTCTTTTCAACATAGTTTGAGGGAAGGGAATGAGTTGGCTGATTCGTTGGCTAAGAAAGGCAAGTTGTTGTATGCTTCATTCAATTGGCTATTGTCAAAAAAAAAAAAAAAAAAATCCGAACGGTAGGATTATTTTCAAAATGAAATTTGGTTTTGAGTTTCATCCCCAAAATGTTTGGATACAGTCTCTATTTCAACCTTGGATATTTGTTTTTCAGGCACATGAAGAGTGCAGTTTGAATTTTTTCTTTTGTTTTTTGAGGTTTGGTTGCTAGGTTGAACATGTTACATTCCCAAAAGGGTCCTGAACATATGCTTAGATTGGGAACATATGGAATGTAAATGGATAGTATGCTCCACAAGCTTATATTTTTTGTACTTTTATGTTGAGAGAGAGAGAGAGAGAGAGCAAGAGTCGATAATCTTAACCATCATTGTTATGAATTAAAAAAAAAAAAAAAACAAAATTTCATATTTTGCAAATGGAAAATTGTTTCATGTAGGTTGTACATATGTGGTCCAGAGGTATAAAACATTCATTTTTAAGATGGATGCAAATAGGTAGTTCATTTAAAAACAATTGAAACTAACGATCCAAATGCTTCCTTAATAGAATTATTATTTTTAAGTTTGAAAATTTATTTATATTTTTATATTCATGATCTCCATGTTAAAGATTGCATATCTTTAAAAATTAAGTCCAAAAATCGATCTCAAAAATAGCTTTTTAAGAGGTGCCTCGTTTCTACATGGACTCATAGAAACCGGGTCCTTTACAAATATATTATTATAACTTTGGACTGTTCATCCATCCATTTAGTTCGTCAAGGATCATCGGATTTGCACGCTATCCGCAAAATTATAGACCTAAAGTGCAAATATTACAAAATGTGCGAAACAAAGGTCCGACACATTTTGTGGTGGACCATCATAATTTGAATATTAGAAGAATACATTTCGTGTCAAATTGGCACTTTTTATTAGAAGCAGGTTGGTGGTAAACTGATCCAATACATTTTGTGTCGGACCAACAAAATTTGAATATTAAAAGTTGGTCTGGCACATTTCGTGTCAAATTGGCACTTTTTATTAGAAGCCGGTTGGTGGTAAGCTGGTCCAACACTCGACCGGTAGATATTGGGCATCATAATTTAGAAACATAAGTTAAAGTGAGGGTATTTTAGGTTAAAAATTTAAAATTTTAATAAATTATTTTGAGATTATTTGTGTGATATAAAAAAGTAACGAAAAAAAGGGGCTCGGTAATAACATAGAAAAGAACTACAAATTCAGGTATCGAACATTTTCTTCCCAATCAATATTTTCCCGTATTCTGTTACATATAATATTAGTAACAACTAAAAAATAAAATTCCACCCCTGAAATTCAAAATTTCGGCTCCACGTGAGATTCAACCCGTGAAATCCGAAATTTCACCTTTTGCCGAAACAGTCCGCGACCCCGAGATTTCGGCAATTTTGTTTCATAGCCGTGAGAACAACAGAGAAAAAGGCTCACAAGAAGGGCACCTCACGCAATTAAATGCATAATCAAGGGTTATTTCATAAAAAAGCGCAGTGAGAACCGAAGCCGTCCACTTGTGTTTAACATACGTGTTGGCTTCCCATTAGCTGGATACCTGAACTTTGGGATCGCAAAAAGCAATTATTTCCACACGGATAATACGATGCCAAATGAAATTGCGCCGCGTGTTATAATTGGGACATGTCATCATACAACGTGTTAAACGTCATTTACACGTAGTTACGTGGCGATGACGAGGTAAAACGCAAAGGACCAAAAGTTCATAACAGTAGAGAGAGCGAATTAAGAGAAAAGTTTAGACTTGTAGAGAGAGAAAGATGGAGAGAGATGTCTCTAATCTCTAGAGAGAGAGAGGTTTGGTCTTCTTTAACATGGCGTTTTCCTTGTGCTTTGGTTATTGAATCACTTGAAAGCTCCACGTTCTCTTTGGTAGTTAGGGTTTATGGCCTCGTGTTTAGGAGCCGCTTCTTATGGATAGAAGTGGTTTCTTTTGAGCCTCTTTCTATTTGAGCCCATGGAGTTCTACATCTGCATTAGGGTTTTGTGGAGAAGTCTTGAAGTTTATGGAGGATTTTAAAGATACAGGCCCGTATTATGCATTTGAACCATGGATTTTGATGTCAGGCAGAAAATAGGGTTTTTTTGAAGCTAAAGCTGATTTTGTTTTTCTGGTTAGTTACATATTTCGAAGTATATGAGATATCAGTTCTAGGTGTTTGGTAATGACAGAGAGCAGTATTTTCTATTTGAAACCATGGATGTTCTGTCTAGCTGGAAATTAAGACTGTTCTGCGAAAGATTTTTTCTATTTATTGGAAAGTTATTTTCAATTTCTGAGTTATTATACATGCTCAATTTCTAGGTGTCCCTTGATATTTGGATATACAAGTGAGAAACTATACTAATCAGAAAACTAGAAGGTGGAGAACTTGAAAATTTTACTTTATAATACCAGTTCAGAGGCTTCACCCTCACTGAGATGATTTTCATGCTTATAATTAAAAACTTCATATTTATTATCCATTTGATTCCACAATTTTCATTCCAGGTTGGATTCAGGGTTTAATAAAGATGGATTCATTCTCATCTACTTTGGATTTGACGTGTTAGCAGACGTTATCGAACTGTATTGCACGTTTGGCATAAATGGACTAAGAGTAATGGACAGAAACTGCAGATTCCCTTCTAATTTTTTACCTTTTTGAGCATGGAACTGCAATCTACAATATGGCGATTTAGGCCAACGAAAAAAGCCATTTGGATGTCTTCCCTCAACTTAACTTGGGTAAAGTTTCAATGCGAGTGATAGATTTGAAGGATAGGAAATTCCCAACTACATCTGATTTTAGAATTTCATAAAAGCCGCTTCTATTCCATGTTATCAACTATACTTGGAATTTACTGGGAATGCTGGATCCCGAAGCGAAGTCTCAGAATTACGGTTTTCAAAATCAGAAAATGGAAAAAAACTGTGAGTTTTGTGGCAAATCAAGATCGCTCATCTACTGTAAGGCTGATGCTGCTTTTCTTTGCTTGGCCTGCGATGCTCGTGTCCACTCTGCAAATGCCCTGTCTCATAGGCATGTGCGTGGGCTACTTTGTGGATCATGCTCCACAGAACAAGCCGTGCTCAAGTGTATGGACCACAAACTCTTCTTTTGTCGAACTTGTGATTGCGATTCTCACCATAATGTGGTCCAACATAGTAAGAGGCTTGTGAATGGTTACATTGGGTGTCCACCTGCTAAGGATTTTGCAGCTTTATGGGGGATTGATTTGAATTTGTGCAGGGAAATGGGGTTTGCTCATTTTCTTAAAGATGAAGAAGGTTTTAGAGTGGATGTGAGCAAGGGGCGGATTGCAGGTTCTTCGATGAGTTCATTGTTGGATGGATCTGGTGCTTCAATGGCTGAATTAAATGAAATGATTTTGGGGGCATCTGTTGCAGATTGTTCAATGAGTTCATCAAGTCAAAACAAGGTATGGGACCAAATTCATGGATTTTGTCAATTTATTACATTGTCTTTAATTGTATAAGGATGGCTTTTTGTAAAATAATAGCCACATAAACATGTAAGGCAATGTGTTGTATAGAGATACAATCATTAATAATGTTATTTATAGTTGTTGATTTGTTTGTTGGTCATGATTTTTTTTTTTTGGGTAAATTTGTTGGTCATGATTGTATCAGCACTATTTCATTTGATGGTTTTTGTTTTCTGATAAGAAGTTCATTTGATTGTTTGCTTCTTGACTAATGAAAATATCTTTGATAGCCTTCAGACCTCCAATATTAACACGGGCATGGTTGAAATTTATCAATAAAAAGGCAGGTTCGAGAGTGTAAACAACATGGAATTTCCATATGATTTTTGTCTTCTGTTTTCCTCTTCTCTCTTAGAGTAAATGGATCGAATTGATGAAGGTATGCTTACAGCTTCATGTTGGGTAATCTTTGAACTGAGTTTTGTGAACTCACCAAAAGCTTGCAGCACCTTATTATCAATAAGTCAAAATTGGGATCTCAAGGATTGTCTTGGGTTGTAATCACTTCGCATGTAACTTGATAAGTACTTTTATAAAGAATTAAGGGAAGGGCTAGCAAGTAATTTGTTCTGGAAGATTATTTATCAGCAATGAAGTGGAGAGAGAAGAAATATAAACATAATGTTGAGGAATACTTGTATGACATGTGAGCAAGATGGAAATGAGAATAGCTGCTGGTCATTGATACCAATCAGTTAAACCATGTAATGGAGAGAGGAATCAAATGTAGGAGAATACATACAATTCTTATTGTTGAAACTGTTTAAAAGTTTTTAAGTACCTTTCAGCTGTAAGAGAAAATAATGTGACATGGTTAGTCTTATATCTATATACCAAGAGACTATCAAATATCAGTGCATACATGGGTATGTATCCGTATCACATTTTTTATCTGACCAATTATTTCGAGGCAGAAATGTAGTTCTGATAAATTATTAGGGTTCACTATTACAGTTGATTTTTCTTTTTTTAAAAAAATTTAAGTTATGTGATATTTCTGTGCAGTTGTTTTTTTTTTTTTAAAAAAAAAATTCAGTTTATGACATATTTCTATGCAATTTCCCAATCATGTTTTCATTCTAGCAGAATACACCTGTGTGAAAGCTGCTGAAGCTGATATGGCACCTGGGAACCTTCTAATATGGTTTGCCTTTTGACTTAACTACTTGTTTAAAACAAATGAATGTTAAATGTTGCCACTATATTGGTGAAGTGGATTGGCATGATCATATTCCCAAACACTTGCATATGGTATATACCATTGTGACTGTCTAGTGTAAATTGGATTTGAAATCAACACTAACTCATCAAGGAAGTTCCTAGCTTATGGCCTTCATAAACATTTATTCTAAACCTTGTAGTTAGAAATGGGCTCAAGGCTAGTTGTTTAGGGTGGTGGAGCGCCACAACATGAGGTCTTGAGTTCCATTCCTACTACAATTAGGGGACCCCATCCCCCCACTGCACTACTAAAAAAAAAAAAAAACAGAAAGAAGAAAAAAACACTTGCAGTTGTCCTTCCTACATTTATAGATTCTTACATTTAGGACTGGGAAGAGACTGCTCCCTCAAATGAAAGTGGCTGTTTCTTCATGATCACTATATACTGATTGTAATCATCATTGTGGTTTACACATATTGTAGGTGGTTCACAATAATCAATGGCACCAAGCAAACTACCCCATTCTACAACAGCTCTTTGATTTGGAAAAATTGCAACTTTCAGAAAGCATCAGCCGACCTTCTTCATTGCGAGTGCAAAATGAAGTTTTTAGACCTGAAACTCAAACTTGCAGGCAGCTAAGCCAAGACAATGATATGAATCAGCAACACTCCCAAGGAGAGCATATTGATAAGCAGCAAGTGGATAATCTTAATCTTCATCTGCAGCAACAAATGCAGCCTTTTTCATTGATTACATCTCAACCGCAGCCACTGAGTTCTTCTTCTAATGCTGGAGTCTCTTTGCAAGGCGATTCATTTTGGCAGTGTAAAAGTCCAGTTCAAAGTAATCAGGTAAACTAGTCCTTATAAAACTAATCTATTCTTATTTGTTTCAGTACAACGTATGTGGTCATAACTAAGAAATTTTAACTTATCATGATGATGCAAATTGATCGCATCACATGGACATTCTAATGAAAAGTTTTTTCATGAACCATTTCTATTGCACCCTTGCCACTTTTACCTTTTGAATAGTTGGTTAGTTTCTTTTTCGAAACTGTTGAATAGTTGATGAGATTACAAAGATAAAAATTCTTTCTCTCTTCATCTGGTCTCGGGACCCAATGAATTTCATGTGATATTGCTTTGGTCCCAAGAAAACTACATACTATTTCTCTGTGTTGGGCTGTTTGCAGGTCCTGACTGTATGTAGGACCATGCTCCCTTGTTAGCTGTTTTTCAAATCCCCTGTCATTTGTTAGTTTCTTTCTGCTTAATTCGTTGTATAATCTAAAGTCTGTCATTTATTCTTTCAGTTGTGGTCTCAAAGCATGCAAGATCTTGGGATTTGCAAAGAAATAGAGTGTTGTGATGGTTTCAACATGCCGGATGTTGATCCCACATTCCAGAACATTGAAGATCTTATTGGGGGTGGTCCTGATCAAGCTGCATCAATATTTGATGATACAGATGCGGGTTGCTCCTACATGGGAAGGGATGTATCCATTGGCAAATCAGATAGAGTCTGTCAAAGATCCTTCAAGGTTAAATAAATACATCTTGACTTTTACATGATTTATTTGTTATTGTCCATCTTCATAATGATGTCAAATTGTTCAACATCGCTTTCATTTGACCATGATCTTTGACTAACGCTTGCTTATTTTTTGCATATCTTTTTGTTATTCAATATTGATGTGATCTTTGAATGAATATATGTTTTCATCCTTTTCTAATAGTTTCTCTTGGTATTTATTATTTGATGTTTCCTGTTTCCTCTCCTACTACTAACCCAATTCCGGTTTCACTTTTATTTTATTTTAACATGATTATGGCTATGGCATTTGCTCATTATTCTTTATCTGGTTTTGCTCTCTCTCTTTTCAGTGTTATTCAGGTTAGTCTGATTTCACGTCACAGGTTATTTGAAATTTTAAATATTTGCTGTTATACACATAAGCTTATAGGGAAGGGATGTGATTATTGACTAAAATTATGGTACCACTTCACCATACTGTTGTAATTGTAAAAGTGAAACTATGTTTTATTGTCCTTTGCGCACTCCCAAACACAAAGACAATTACGTTGGTTGTAAACGGATGGGAGTCAAAGGATATTATTCTCTTTTTTCTCTCCGAAAGAGATGTTTTTTCTTCATTTGTTGCACCAACTGAAAGAAATGCGACACGACTAGTCCTGCAGTTACAAATACAAAAAAAAAATAGAAAGCTTGTTACTTAGTGTAATGTCAATATAGCATAGATAGATGAGTCATCTTGGACGGCAGATGTGCTGGGCACTAGAGCAATCAGGCATTGGATGAATGCCTATTTGAAAATGCTGACCTACTCCATCCATTTGTGTGCTAGTGAATGTTTTAATAATCGTCCACTCTACCACACATTTTATAAATCAACTCCTTTTAATAACTTGTCTGATTTGAAGACTACATCTCGTTCAGTTTGAATTTACTTTAGCTATCATCTATATCAGTGGCTTGTGATATCAATTTAAAATTGTAGAGATTTTATATATATTTCTTGGAAATAAATGTGGAACTTAATCTCAGACTGGGGTGTGGAAGGCATCTTGATATGTTCCTCATTTCTTGCTTAACATTTGTTTTACTTTTTCACAAAATTCATCTCATAGCGATCAAATGACCATATGTGATATTGAGTAACTTGGTGTTCTACTTGTAGGTCAATATTTTCTTTTCGCTGGTAACTAATTGGTCCTTGCAGATTGTGGGATGGTATTGCATTGTAATAACTTTATTGTGAGGAGATTGAGGTCATATTTGTGGTTATGTTTCCCTTTTATATTCATGGTTATTCATGGATTTACCCTTTACACGTTGTATGGACATAGCTCATTCATTCAAGAAACCTGTTGGCAGCTGTATTCATCTGAAATAATGTTGTTGTTCGGTAATGGTATCAGAGAAATAGCATGTGGCCAATATGTTGATTTTTCCTGGGCTTCCCGCCCACTGGAGTTTTCTGCATCTGACTATTGACATCAATTTTTCTTGATCTTCTCAGAAGCGCATACTAGTTCTTTGTAAGAGTCCCTTTTATGAAGGTCCGTTTTGCCATTAGTGTTGCATATCTGTGAGATACCAAATCTTTTCAATATTTTGACTTTTCTTTTCGCTTCAAACTTAGGGAGATTTTTCTGCCATTTCCAGTATTCAGTTTGCTATGCATTCAAGAATGATCTCTTCTATGATGCCACTCTCTTGAGGGTATATTATTTGTTGGTTGTTACCAAGTTCTTTCTTTCCCCTCCTTTCTTGATTGATATGCATGGAATTGGTTCCTGCCATGTTGAGATTGAGCTCCAAACCTGATTGGGGACATTCAGTCAGTTCTAGTTCCTCATTTCCTCATGATGTTGGTTTTCGAATGAATGGATATAGCCTGTCAATTGCACTACTTTTTATAATGAGTACTTGATATAATAAGTTGAATACAATCACTTTGTCCAGGCTTCCGGTTATAAAACTTTTTCTCACTCTTGACAAGATTGTATCCACTAGAGATTTCTACTTGTCAATAGGCAGAAATTTTTCTCTTCTTGGTACGTCATTCTGGATTGTTTTCTTCTCAAGTTCAATGGGGAGTATTTGCCTTTCGCATACATAACAAAGAAATATATCATGGGGGCTATGTTGCCTATTGACTAGTCCATACATTTATAGTTGTACATACTGAACTACCTTAGACAACAGGTTGTCTATACTTGTGTTGCATATTCTTTTATCTTTTCTCTTGCAAAATATGTCATTTGTAGAAAAAGGATAATTCTGTTAATTCTGTTAAGTGAAAAAACCTTGTACCAAGTTGGGAAAATTCACCAGGTTAAGTCAACTTGTTCAGTAGGCAAGTTTTGTAACTGATAAACTCTGATATATCTGAGCTTTTGCTCAAGTATAATTTTTCTATTTTACTTTGACACTCAAAGGCTGTTTTCACATGTGGTATGGTAACATGCTGGGTTTGAATGCCATTATAGGCACTTTGTGTTAACTCAGGGAGTTGACTTGGTTTTGGTGATCACCGAGTAAGCCATGGATTTTTATTTTGAACACTGATTTGGACTTAGTATGGGTTCATTGAAGTAGTTTCTTTTAGTTTTTTTTTTTTGGTTTTTTTTTAAATCCTGTTATCCATAACGAAATCCGTTTCGCCAATGGCCTGACCTTTCAGAGGACTCTCTCTCTCTCTCTCTCTCTCTCTCTCTCTCTCTCTCTCTCTCTCT